CAAGAAGAATAACCTTTGATCCAACGTTATATTATTTGAGAATTCACGTTGAAATATCGTATGGAATTATTGAGAATTACGAGAAATAATGATTTTTGTGTTGGTGCAGTAACAAGTATGAGCAAAATAAACACGTTCCTTTCGAAGTCGACGATCGACTGGAAACGATCGCCGGATCGAATCGTGGATCGAGTCCGCGTGTCAAGAAAGTGGTACGAGTAGATCTTGGAAACATGGTCCGAGGTGCATTATTTGCTTGTCAGTTAAGGATATTGCGATCCAAAGAACGTGACTCGACTTCACTTCAGGGAGTAAATTGATCTTCCGCGAAGTACACAGGAAAGAAGTTCGTTTCTTGGAAAAATTAAATGAAACCAGCATCTGAATAAATCTTCTTTTATCTACTATATAGTTCAGTTCGGATTTCCATCTCCTCTAGAGTAACTTCTTCCAAGGATGGTTTCAAATTTCAGATATCAAATTGCACTTACTCTTGCAATTTATTATACATTTTTTTTCGATTGCATAAAATCATAATACATAAAATTTATTAAATATAAATTACAAAGAAATATTTTAAGAAAATGCAAATTTCAAGAAATGAAAAGTTATACACAAAAGAGGAAATTTTATTCTTGTGGAAATGATGCATATAAATATCGTCTTGATTTCATCAAATTGATTTAATGATATGAATTCAAAAAGAAGAAGGAAATTGTCTCTTCTTGATTACGTTTCGAATTCGTATCTTTCTTTTTTTTTTTTTTTTTTTTGTAATATCGTTCGTTATTCGTTCGAACATGCACCGATCGCCAACACCATCGTCATTAATGCAGCGATTAACACATGCCTCTTGATTTATTGCGCCAAAAAGAAGATGAAAACGATCGGTGCATGCCGATAATTCCGCGGCTAACAGCAGCTCGAAGAAACATCTGAGTTTATAACTGTGAACACTCGATGAAATCGAGAACCTCTTCCTTGAATTTCTTTCGTCGGTTCCAGTGATAGAAAAGGAAAACAGTGTAACAAGTTTCGATTCATCTTGTTCGAATATCGATTTGCTCGAATCACGTGTATTCACTTCCGTGGACGGATCTGCCAATTAATCATCGGATGGTTGATCATCCCACTACCGAGCAATTATAGACGTTAAACCCGTCTATCATCATCGAGATCTTGTTTAACCCTTGCTAAATTATTTGACTATTCGAACGTGCGAAAGCTTGTGCAATTACGGTACGAGATTAAAATTAGATTAATTGGAGGAACATTAAGTAATTATAAGTGAAAATGAAATAAAAACATGGTATAACTATGTGGAGAATGAAGTAAGAGATAGATTTATCGAACGATGATAAATTAATCAAAAAAATTAAATCTGTCTATACGTCAAATTAATCTAACTTTCTAATTTTCATAATATAAATAAATCTATCAAATTTTTTTATAATTTGTATTATATATATATATATATTAAATATCAAACAGCTGACATGATACCAGGAAAAGAATTGATAGAATTTAATCATATTGATTTTTTTTAAATTCAGTAACATATACGCATATACATCATTTGATATATAATGATGATTAGCATCGATCAATGGCATACACTTTTACGTAATTTTATATTTTTTTAATTGAGTTATTAAATGTCAATTGTCTTACTCAAAATTATTATATAACTCTGTATCTTTTTTAATTGGCTTTCAATAATTTCAATTAAAAATATCATATCTACGTACATGAATCTTAAGAAATGTCAACGATAATTTCTAATAATTAACGAAAAAAAGAAATCTTCATCGAAGAGGAACAAAAAATGTATTAAAAAAAAGAAGAAAAATCAAAGAGACAGAACAATATTTATTAATTTAATTTCATCGACTTTAACAATGTTTAGAACTGGTAGATCACTCTGAAGTCCTTTCTCGAGTGCGAGGATCTGGTACCTCATTCTTCCTGTTTCTCTTCCTCATACCAAGATCGGTGACCAGCGAAGTAGTCGAACGGTTTGAACCCGCGAGCGAGAGGTCCTTGTAGGGCATAATCTTTGAACCGACCTCCTCGTACTTCTCGAGTTCCCATTTAGTTTTGATCTTAATTTTCTTCAATTACGCGCGCTTACGATTCTTTATTAACATATATGGGAAAAATTGTGTTTATTACGGCTGCAGAACTTTTTTCTTCCTGTTTTCAGAGAAATTAAGTAATTACTTAATTTGTACAAATCTAATTTTTTCTGAAAACGATTCATCTAATCTAAGGATCATTTTATACTTAAAACTTTCGATCGATGAATAAATTAAATCTGTTGTTATTTTTATACGTAAATTACAGAATCTTTCGCAAATGTGCTAAAATATTTATGTTATAACGATTCTCCAAATAATCGGTGCGGATCTGTTCTTCAAAAAAATCGAATAAACAAATTCCACTAATTAAATCTAATCCTCCCCAACCTGTCACATCAATTTATCAAAAATTATCAAATTCCACATCGCATAATCCCCATCTTCATTTTCGTTCTCCATTCTCCAGAGAAGGCAAAGGCGTTGTGTCGAGTAATTTCCAGTCGGAATCGAGGCTCATCAGTGTTTAAAAGCTTGAGTCAACAACGAAGCGTTCGCGTTCTCAGCAACAGACGTTTCCATAATCGTCTCTGTACCGTTCGATACTTGGCAACGATGATCGTGAACGACACCGTGGCCCCTTTGCCTATCAGAAGCATCGTCGTTTCGCCGGGTAATTACACCAGGTCAAGATAATTTGCAATAAACCGATCTCCTCCACCGGCATCCCTCGTCCTCCGCGGTGCATTGTTTTCCAACTCGGTCAATCGAGATGTCCTTCGATCGAGGATCGGCCGAGATAGCATCGAAATCTCAGGGTCGCTCGGCCGTTCCCGGGACTCTCTCGTGCTAAACGACGGCTGCACCTACCTCTAGACACCTGTCCACGAACCCAGCAACAATCTAATTTCGTTAATCGTTCGAGAGATGTTCTTTTCATTTCGTAATTTTCATTTAGATAATCGTCAGGAATCGGTAAAATTTATAATGTGCAGTTATTGACAAAAGAAATAATGAGTGTAATATATATATATATATATATTTTCAAATTGATTAAAATAAGAAAATTAGTATCAGATTTGCGTAATTTTCCAAGGAAGGGAAAAGATAGATTTTTATATAGAGCATATATTGCGTTATGATATAAAATATACACGATAAAATATTCACATCATAAAATATTAAATGTCAATACAATCCAGACGAAGGCCGTAATAGTTAAACGAATCGCTATTATAGTCAATCCCCATCTCACAGTTACATTTGTAATGAAACAAGATTCATAAAGATCGGGAACGAAGTCGAGCAACATCTTGATATTACATTCGAACGAACCACTTGGATAGATTCATCAAATATTCCAGACGCAATTAAACTTCGTTGCAGAGAGAGAGAGAGAGAAAGAGAGAGAATGAAGGATCCGCATTCGTTTACACGATTATCCCGCTTTTCCTCGTGAACGTTTGTTACACGATATTTTATTTCGACGTGCACGCTAGGTGTGGACGATCGTGTGTCACGTGTGCCGTGTGTGTCACCTCTGGCATCCGAGCTTCTCTGGCCGTGGCTCTCCTCGTCATTATCTGCCAACGATGATTACAATTATTATTCCGATCGGCCGATAATCATGTCCCGTGTACAATTGCGATCGAGGATCACGTAGAACGATCATCCCCACGTTTTGCACGCTTTGTGCAAAACCGGACGCACGCTCCTCCTCCACGCGCGTGTGTGTATCATTTTCTTGCGGTTTATTTTCGAAATTGGGCAAAAATAGAAGAATAATACCAAAAATTTTATATTTCAAATTCCATATTCACGTGTTCCAATTCTAATTCCTTTAAATTAGTTTCTCCTTAATTAACTTAATTACATCTACTACTACCAACTTTTTCTCTCCCAAATTTATTTTATTACCCCACACGATTGTTAGACTTCCGGTTACAGGTTGCCATTATTAGGCGGATTAACGAGGCCTGGATCCCCCTGCGAGATTGCCGCGAGACGAGGGCCGCGGATACGCGCGATGACGCGCCGCCACGATAGGACGCCTGAGCGCGTCATGAGTCAGATATCCTCCAGGTTTCAGCGTGCCGGGTCAAGGGTCGATTGCATTTGCTCGAACCGCCCCCACCCTTCTTCCGTCTCGGCGGCCCGTGTGTCTCGGAGTCCTTGATATTAGAATGGTCCAGGGGAACACGCGCGCCTCCAGTGACCGTTACACGCTGCAACGTTGCGCACACACCACAACCATCTTCGTCTCTTCTCTTCGATCGTTCACTGACGACATCGACTCTCCGTTACGATCACATGAGAGTTCCTCGCCGCGGAACCATTTAATCGCTCGTCTTCGCGATCGTTCTTCTTTGGTGGCGTTCAGGTTAGGGGACGTGGAGAGAATTTGACGTTTCCTGGAAGGGATGGAATCTTGGTGGAAATAGAATTTTTGTCTATTGTCTAAAAAAATGTTAATAATCGTTATTATATAATTAGCTATGAATAGCTATGAATAATTCGAGAGAAAGAAATGTTGAATTGTTTCGAGGACAGGATAATCTCTTTGTTTTCGTGGAAATGGAATCATTTTTTTTAAGTCCTTTTCATTCATTTACGAAGAAATTAATAATATCGTAAAATGTAATTTTTCTTCGAAATTATATCCCACTTTTGTCTAAATCTTTTCTTAATATTTCTAAAAGTACATACAATTATTAGTTAGTAATGAATTCGTAAAATAATTAATTAAAAATTTCATATTTCTTTTGGAAACGTTATAATTGATAAATATTCCTTGCGAATATTTTTATCAAGTGGGTCTTCTGAAATGGTTGAATTCATATATATGTAATAAGAGTTAAAAATGAATATATATCTCATACATATATATGAGATACTGCGTTATATTGTGCAGCATATATCGCAAAAACCAAAGCTGTAATAAAATGGTATTTATAGTGTTATGATCGTATGTAAACACACACTTTACGTTTCCATTTACATTTTGAAAACAAATTCTTATCAGAAATAGATTTCTTACGAACACGTCGAAAGTAAATATACGCAACAAAAATAGTTAGTCTGTTGTGAAACACGGTCGGGTAAAGTGATTCAGTAATTTTTGAACGAGCGTGAATTCGTGTAAATTTTCATCAGTGTCGATTAATTTGAAATATTTAGTGGAAAAAAAGTGAAATACTTACGATGGATAGATTTCAATATCTAGATATTTTAATTATTTTAAAAACAAATTTAATTGCAAATATTACAAAAGTTCAGTGTTGCCAGATTCGTGGATCTTTCAGCAAGATCGAGATTCTAAACGTAGAATTGGTTGCAACAGAATGCTCCAAATTTTATTTTTAATTAATCTCAATGGAATATTAATCAAATTATTGGCAATCTTTACGATTATTCAAAACAGATTGTTAAATTGTATCTTCAAGTTGATATATATTCCCTGTAACGAAAGGTTAGTAAAATGATCAAGCATCTTGTTTAGCGAATTCTGTATTTCAGTGCAAATTGATACTCTTGATAATTGTCCATATAAATTAACCATATAATGTTTCAAAATATTAATATTAATGCAGTTTTGATACGCGATATTGGTAAAATTTTTTATCGATTAATAATTAGATCGTATTCCTCAATATCGTAAATTATGCACGGGAAGGCTGATATTTAAATCTGATAACGATTGCTTCAGACTGGGTGAAAAAACTCACATCAAGATGGATAAAGACTACTGGCGATCTAAGTTCAAGGTTTTGGTGTATAACGCGTCAAACGATCAATCATATTGCAATGAATGACCGACAAGAAGTATGAAATGCGCAAAAACATGGTGCTTAATAAGCTGAGTTCAGAATAAATATAATTCCATCGCGAATTACGATTAGAAGTTAAAATTGGTACGCATTATTATTGCAAATTAAATGCTCAATTATGATACTGAACGAATATTAAAGAAAAATTTTCCATTTTCTCGTTCAATATTTTGCTCGATTTTTTCAATTCTCACCAATCAAATCAAATTTCAAGGATTCAAATTTTTTTCTCCCCAGTTATAATCTACATTGACAAATAAAGCTAGAGGGAAGAGACACTTAAAAAAATTTATCAATTCATGAACTTGATTTTCAAATCGATGCGATACATCGTCAGATTTTATTTTCATACTTTCTTTAAGATCCTTGGTCTTTCGCACTCAACTTTTTCACCCGCCATACCATTTACTCTGCACAATATGGATGCTCAAGGCCACGCGCCGATTCAGCCCAGGATCGATCGCTTTTCCCGATCTTTATCTGCCCGAGCCGCTTTTTTTCACATTGCTTCGTGATCGAACACCGTGAATCGACCATCCTATTCTATTTCAAGATGTTATCGATGGCTTTTCCCCTCTTCTCGCCGATTTTTTCCTTTTTTTCCTTTTTTTTTTTCCTTTTCATCCCATTCACCAATGACCGTGATTTGCTTCCCTCTGTTCACTTTTAACTATTATTAGAATCGTCTGATTTAAAATTATGCATATACAATCGGTAGCAACCTATAATTTTGATTTTGTATTTGATCTTTTTTTTAATTGTAGAATCGAAGAATAAAAGTCTGATTGTAGTTCTCCAATCACGAACTATGATGATGATTCATTTCAAAGATACTGATAAAAATTTTGTAGAGATATAAATACAAGCATCTATCTGTGCTCATCTTGTGGCAAATAATCATAAATATAAATATTAATATATTAGTTAAAGAAAATCATCATTTTTCATTATTGGTACGTCAACAGAAGAAACAACATTTCTTTCTTTTCAAAGAAATAAAAATAAGTGTAGGAATAAAGTTCGTTGATTCATATAATTATAAAAACAAGATGAATTTTTCTCATTTATATTGATCAAAGTAAGTTTCTCATATAAATTCGTGTTTTTATAAATGCATCTAAGAAAAACTAATATTTAAATAAATATTTCCTTTATATACTAGATATTATAAACACGTATTTTAGGTTTTACTCGAATTAATAAATATCCATTTTTAGGATTCATCAATGATTCGTTCAATTTTGATTTAAAAGAAATCTAATTTCTTTTCTACTCTCTTTTATTCTCTTTATTCGCAGAAAAGAGATATAAACAAGTCAAAGAAAAATATTTTTCATTAAAAAATAAATGTACTTGGAAAAGTATATGTATTGATCGAAGATATCCATCTTCCACAGGATCTCTTGTATCTCGATGAATCTTCACAATCAGCGATCAACGATGGATGGAAAAAAAAAAAAAGATCGATTTATAGATGCATCATTGCTGTAAATAATCGTTCGATTGTGCCGATTCTTAATCGATTAGTTCATAGGGGAAAGTGTTTATTGTCGGTGCTGAAAATAACGCGAGGCATTCGGTCTGGGAAACCGCGAGCTGACGCGAGGTTGCTCAGAGATCAGAGATGACCAACGCTGATCGACTCTGTGTAGGAGGTGAGGGAATTTAAGAGCGATGCGCGAACGTGATGTTCAGGAAATGAGGATGCCGCGTGGGAGTCGGTCTTTCGAGGGTGAACGGAGAGGAAAGATGGGGATAAAGCCTTCAGGTTTTAGAGCAGAAGAAGGAAGAGGCTTTTGAAGAGGAATTGGATATTGTGAAACTTGTGCTTGTTCTGTCATCGATAAAAAATCGTGAAATAACATTAAGAGAAATTAAAGGAAAAAAGAATTAATACATTAATACCTTCAAATGTTTTCTAAATATAAATCAAAAACTACTATATTAACTTAACGTAATTTAGAAAAATTATATAAAATTTTGAATTTCTTATTTTTAGTTAATTATTTAATTTTTCGATTTTTAAATTTATTTGTTTAAGAGTTTTTCTTAATAATAAAAATAATTAAGATATCCACAAATTAAAATATAATATTGTTGCGTTAAAGCGTCTTTAAGACTTTTATAAGTCTGCATTATTTCGAAAAGATACATCATCAAATAACTCTTGAAAAAGATTTTAATAATAATTCTAGATAAATTATTACTTTAACTATTTTATTATGGCTTTAATTTTAGTAATAAATCTTTGACTTTTTGCGCAATTACAATCGTTGCTACGATTAATAAATCCACACGATCGTGATTGCATATTCAATATGGGTGACAAGTTCAGAGCACGTAAAAACAATGAACATCGAGCACAAATCGCATGGGCTCATTTGCAAGTTGCAACCTATAACATTTGTTTTTTGCTCGTTAAAAAAAAAGAACTTAAGAAGATTATTCTTCTTTTTTTCTTTTTTTTCTTTTACGATTGCTTTTTACGATATATGGTACATAACGTGTCGTTAACGTTGTTTTGTATCAATGATTTAAAAGTCAGCCAACTGTCAATGAACATTCTACAAGGTTGGATTAGAAAAAGTCGAAACTAATGACCGTCAATCGTTTTGGATCGAATCGTTCGATCATGACGAGTGATTCGGTTTTAATTCGTACAGCTTTCACGCGCCATAAGAATACTTCTAACACGTTTTAATCCTTTTTTCGACGAACAATTTGACCCAATGATGAAGGTTAAACGGTTTGCCAAAAATAGAAACTGGAGATCGAATTTATAGCTCGATAAAAAGCTAACCGTTTCAATTATCCAGACGTTTGTTCGACTTTTGAGTTTAAGGCCCTCGACGATATCATTAATTTTGAAGACTCGCGACAGGTGGTTGGAAAGTTGAGTTAGTAGAGATCCGTGGTATCTATTTTTAATGTTGTTAGGAGATTTCATCATTTTATTCGCGTTTGTCATTTATAAAGAAGTATATAAGTTAAATCGATCTAAACAGCTTACTAATCTAACAGTATCAACGAAGGGATACAAATTCAAATTAAATCTTCTTAAATGAAAATAACTTAATCCAGTCTCTGATTCAGTCTCTTATTATCCTCTATGACTCGACTTGATTTCGAACGTTAAATTGTATCGCAGCATATAATTTCACGTTCAATTATTTCTTCACGAAAGATTATAACATCGATATAAAATTTCTCCCGATTCACAATAACATGAATTCGCAGCTGTAAATAAAACTTTGAACTCGCATAATTTATCTCTCCTTAATTCATAGAAATTAAAATATTCACGCATTAGTCAAACTCGAGCTCATCGAGGCGAAATCGAGATTATAAAAAAAATAGAATAAACGAGAATTCTGAGCAAGATACGATAGAAGATAAAATAATGTCGAAGATGCAACTTTTAAATACCAGTTTTCACCGAATACAAGTTGTTTCGGATCACGTTTCCCAGCTAATAAATGTAATAAATGTTTTCTGCGCTCATCCTGGATTAAGGACAAACGGTACATAGCCTCGCGTGAAGATAATTCGAAAAATGCGCAATACACGGGTCTCAGAGCGAGGATAAGCCCGAGAAATGTTCTCTCAAACGAAACGGTGGTTGGAGAATTCTTCACAAGCGTGGAATTAGCGAATTACCAATAATATTACCATATCCCGATATGTATTTCGACCGGCCACGAGGTGCTCGATTGCGCAAGGTGAAGGCAGGATCGTCGTAGCCCCGTAGCTGTTTCAGACCCAGTTCTCATCTATTAATGCGCAATTACCGGCAAACAATGTGATTACAGCCGCGTTTAAGTCATTACGCGACGGCTCTTCCATCCTCTTCTGTCCACCAGGCTTTCCCCCTTGCTCGTTTCGACATCTGTTTCTACGTTTTACGGTACGTTTGCGGCCGATTTTACCGTGACATTATATTATCAGTGAAGGAAATTGAAGCCTCGTGTAGTGTTAATAGTATAATGCTACAAGGGAAAATGTGCTTTTTTTCGTTTGATGGTAATAGTTTTTAATGTGTTGTAACGAAGTGGTGAGAATTTTTTGTAGTTTTTTTTTTTTTCCAGAATTGCATTAGAAATCGTAAGGATTTGTAGCAATACTTATGAATCTTTTTTACTTTTTTACAGGGTAAAAAAATAATTTCAATACGTTTTAACGTTAATTAATCAAAATCGTTTAATTGTCATGTCCTATTGCTCAGGGCGATAATCTTGACAATGCATGAGGAAATCATCACGAGATCGAAGGAATGGTACCAAATATTATATAAAAATACTTTTTTATCTTTAATTTCAAAATGCAAGGAAGACATATATTGCAGTTTATTGCACGTCCACTGTCTGTGTACGAATTCACGTTTCCTCATATATTTTTCCAAGCACCCAACAATCCTCCTTCACTTGCACCTTCACCGTTCCATCGAGATCAACCTATTTGCAGAATTTCAATCGTGCCCCACAGAGAGAAAGAGAGAGAGAGAGAGAGAGAGAGAGAGAGAGAGAGAGAGAGAGACAACGACGAAACG